TTGGGCTTAAAAATTAAAATTATGAAATAATCTAATTTATTCAATTAATTTGCTAATTTGTATAAGAAAAAAATAAAATAATTTAATTAATTCAATATAAAAAATAAAAAAATTATTTAGTTTCGGTTCTTGTTCGGTTCTTCGGTTCTTGGTCTAGACCCGAGACCCGACCCAAACCCATCGGTTCTCGATTCGGGTACCCGTTCGAGTATTTAATTTATGAAGAACCGCTCGATTCGGTTCGGTTCGGGTTCGGTTCGATCCGGTTCGGGACTTTTGGACACCCTTATTTAGAACCGAGAACCGAACCAAACCAAACCATTCGGTTCTCGATTCGGATACCCGTTCGGGTATTTCATTTAAAAAAACCCGCTCAATTCGGTTCGGTTCGGTTCGATTTCGGTTCGATTCGGACATTTTGCTCAACCCTAATTTTAGCAATGCTTAGGAATGGCAAAAACACTTGTTCAATCCGATACCCGAGGTTCTCGCTTCGAATGAGATGAAGATTACATGCCTAATAAGGTAAACGGAACAAGGCGATGATCATTGTCTGGAAGAGGGTACGGTGAACATAGACCCCGTCCCACTATACACCACGTTTAAAGTTATTTTCAAATTTAAGTTTTTTATCAAATAAAAATAAAAGATTTATCATCATTTTAAAGAGAACATAAGTTATTCTTAAAAATTGGGGAAAATGTAATAATATTTATTAACTAAAGACATAAAAAAACATAAAAGTAAAAAATAAAAAAATAAACGGGGCAGGGAAACTATCCCGTCCCCAACCCGTCCTGTTTTAATCAGACATGGGGACAGGGCAAAGTGATAAAAATACCCGACGACCATCCCGTACTCGTTATGTTGTCATCCATAACAATGCTTTCATGTTTTATAACTTATGACATGATTTTAGGAAAAGTTTTTACATTTTGAAGTTTAAAGAAATTGCCAAATTCCGGAAATTCCAAACTCCACAAATGAAAAATGTTCCTTTATACCAGTACATAAAGCAAAATAAACAACCAATCCAAAGTTCAACCAAAAAAATAATAATAATAACTAAATAAAAATAGAAAAGAACCAATGCAAGCTTGATCAATTAATTATGCTATTTTTGGTCGAGTAACCATTGCCTTCTTTGATATCTGAGAGGTGGGCACTTTTCCAAGAGTGGACCTGAACTGGCTAATTTGATACATTTCTAGTTGAGCCATTAAACATGTATGTTTGTCATGAACTGGCTAATTTGATACATTTCTATGTTTGTCATACATAGGTGGGCATCTTTGTCGTGTCAAATGAGGAGCATACAAGTAAATTTACACTTAACAATTTTTTCTAAAGGTAAAGAGTAATACGAACTGAACTGAACGGAACTAGAGTTAGACATTTCAATCATTGCACGTAAAACTGTTTGATTCTATTTGCAGAATTTCCTGGGTACCTAGTTTGGTAACCGAATTGAACTAGACTACATATACCCAACTCTTAGGCAAGAATGGATGGACCATGATCTTCTTCAAATATTATTGTTCTGAATTTCACCAGTAGTTTTGCCTAACATCCAACATAAAATATGTACCCAACTATTTATTTTTTCCCTATATATTTTCAACACTGGTAGTCTGGTTTATACAATATTTTCAAGTTTCTTTGATTGTTGCAAGTTCTTGCAGTACAAAGAACTTCACCAAGAAATGGCATTTCTAACCGCTCAAACCTGGGCTTTCATCTTCGGCATCTTGGGTATACAAATTCTTGGAAATTCTTTATATACGTGTATATATACGTCCACACACGTGACACGTGCATGGTAATTTTCATGTGTGACTCTTAACTTTTCGTTTGGTTCCTGTCGTTTACAGGCAACATCGTGTCGTTCCTGGTGTTTTTGGCACCTGTGTAAGGCTTTCAAACTCGAAAACTAACCAATAATTGATTATCACAAAACTTAATGAAATATTATTAAATTATTATTTTTTCCATATATGAATTTGTTCAGGCCAACCTTTTACACAATATACAAGAGGAAATCATCAGAAGGATTTCAGGTTCTACCATATTCAGTTGCACTGTTAAGTGCATCACTGTTGCTATATTATGCTTTTCTCAAGCCAAATACCTACATAATTAGCATCAATGGTATGGGATGCTTAATTGAACTAATTTACCTCTTAATCCATGTAATATATTCCCCCAAGAAGACCAAGGTAAATAAATCTCTTTTGCCTTCTTAGTTCTTACATTATCACAATTTTCTTTTTCATATCTTTTTTTTTTTTTAAAGTGCTGCTGTCCATTTTTTTCGACAGATTTCGACGTCCGGAATGGTGCTTCTATTCAATGTTGGAGGTTTAGGGGTGATAATGGCGGTTTCCTTGCTAGTTGTTAAAGGTTCGAGCCGAGTGACTTTGATAGGATGGGTATGCGCTGCTATCAACTTGGCCGTATTTGCTGCGCCGTTAAGCATCATGGTACGTAAATCTGGGCTCGTTAAGACTGGATTATGTCTATCTTATCGAACCGCATTTGGTTCATAGGTTTTTTTTTCGCAGAGACAAGTCATACGAACCAAGAGCGTAGAATTCATGCCATTTACTCTATCCTTTTTCCTCACTATTTGTTCCAAAATGTGGTTCTTCCATGGATATTTCATTAGGGACTATTACATTGCTGTAAGTAACAAACAAATAACATTAATTCGAGCCATAATTTCCACTTTCTTTTTTACTTTCCGATACAGGCATCTAATTTTACGTTTTCTTTCTCATCTTTTTGCAGTTACCAAATGTTATGGGATTTTTATTTGGAATTGTTCAAATGACACTATACTTCATTTACAAGGACGCGAAACAAGATGTCGATCCGAATCTTAAGCTCGAAGGGCTTATGATTATCATGAATTGAATTTGAAGGTTGAAGGTTGCAATGATCCAAGAAAAGATATTGAAATGAATTTGAAGATGGAGGAGGCTGCACCTAGATGAAGAATTGAATGCAGTATATAGGAAAGTTGAGACTTTATTCCACTAGAAATCCAGCAGTTTTTACTTTGTGTTTTGAGTATGAAATAACGTACTAGAAGTGTGTCTTTTCTTTAATTTTGAAGATTTTATCAAGAATTTGATGAAATTCCACAAGTCATGCAAATTGCTTTTGGACCATCAATAATGCTGAGCAAACAGGGAAAAAACAGACTAATGTGGCAGCCTATGATTGAGTGTTTTTATGATTTTTTTCTCTCATTCTCCAATGAAAAATTGCCACATCGGTCTGTTTTTTTTGCTTTTCTGTCATTGACCCCGGTCATGTAGCATGGTTTTTATTATAAAATCTGAGCTTCCAACAAATAGGTATTTATTGGCTTTAAATGGGGGTGGACGAAAGTATCTGAACTAGAGGGGCCAAACTAGAACTGCACTCAACCAAGTTGGGTTCAAATTCTAACTAAAAGAAATCGATTTTCAGTTGTTTTAAGTGAGAAACTAATATTTTAGTTTCGGTTCTTTATATTATACACATGGATTTCAAGTTTTGAGTTTTAACATCAATCGCGTGCAAAATTTTTAGTAGAAAAATTATGGGTTCACGTACAAAATTATTTTAATAGAAAAATGTGATCGAAAATAATTTTCGTGAAAATGTGAATTTTAAAGCATTTGTGAACCAAACATGGGCAATGTTATGATCATCGGACTAAGTTTTGTGTGAATTTTTAATTTCTGCTCGTCAATGATGAGGTGATGCAATCATTTGAAATGCATAGATTGCTCAACATTCAAATATTGCAGAAGTTAAATCATTAAACAACAATACAGCACACATTTTTTTTCATTCTCCAGTATAAGGTTTCTGTTTGGTTAAACATGGCTGGACCGAAACGAACTACATCTGATTGTGGATTTAACTCAAATCAAATTATATATAAAATAAAAGTGTGACTAAGAACTTATTCATAAAGTTTCGTTGATCAATATTTTGTCCCATTAAATTTTCTTGAAAATATTTTTAGCGAGACAACTTTTGTAACTTATTAAAAAATATAATGTACTTTTTTTTTTTTACTTCATTAGGCTTTTCCAACAGATTCTTTTACTTAAAAAAAATTTTAACGAGATATATTATTTGTGTAATGAATATTTATAACCAACACGATATTTTTCTCAAATATTTTTATGATTTTACTCTCTTTATGTCAAAAATTGTACATGAGACTCCCGAATAGAGTAACAAACAAATCTATTTTTCAATGAACCGTCATGTCAGCTAAAGTCAAACAATGATATAATAATATCTTGTATGAAGACGATATTGATTTGGATACAAATTTTTGAAAGAGAGTGTACTGAATACATTTGTCTATAAGATATAAATGCTCGATTTTATTAATTGAAATCAAAGGAAGTAACTGTACTATTTTCTCTTCGTCGAGATTTTATCTCGTTGATTTTTCGGGTAACGTATTGATAAGACATCATTTTTTTAATATTCTGAAAAATTAACAACTAATTGTACTCTTTTTCTGTTTGTTCGATTTCTCGTCCTATTGAGTTTTGAAAAACGAGATTTTTTAACGAAATAGTTATTGTGCAAATAAACATTAAATAGGGAGTGTAGCAAAATTATGGGATAATTATTGATTACTGTTTAATCTTATAGAATACTTAGATAAGTCTTACTTTCTCTAGAATAGTGTAATCTATTCAGATTGAAACTTTCATTGAGCCCCCTTTTGGTGCATATTTTTGGAAAAAGAATGCATTTATACTGTTGATGTGATGGGGAATATGTGGTTGAAAAAGAATGAAAAATTATTGATGTAATGAAAAATATTATTTTATTGAAAAATATGTAGTTAAAAATGAGTAGAAAAATAAAAATGAAAAAAATAACGTATCTCAAACAGGGCCTGAAACATACATGATCATTGTTATAATAAAATACACGCTCGAATTTTAACTCTATTAATTTTCTTCTATTGTTTTTTCTTTCCTCTTAGTTTCATAACATGAACTAATTTTATTTATTTTTAATCACAAATCAAGTTTTTTTTTTTTTTTTTTTTTAAGGGTTTTGCCATTNTTGCCCACTACCAAAAACACTTTCACCAACAATTAATACCATAGAGAGTCATCAGTGCAAAGTATAAAGTTCTATATCTCAAGAATATTTATAACATAAGATCTTGTAATTCAAGGCCTCTTTCAACAACTGAGAAAATACAATCAAACCCTCAAAAGTTTTTTCTGTGGGAAATCTAAGCTGGTTTTCGAAAACATAAAGAAACACAGGCTGGAGATTTACCATTTCCTTCGAACTTGTTTAAGAAGAATCTCAAATAATCATAAATATTGATGAAAAATTGAACTCAGATTAGCCAATAGAGAAAGAGAAAGAAACCAACTTCAACTGGTTGCTAAGAACATTAATAGTGATCAGACATAAAATATCATTACATTAAGAAAAAAGTGGCAAGAAAAAAGAAAAATAGGGAAAACAAAAAGCTGCATACCAGAAAACATATCAAGAAATTTGAATAGACTTCTTAATTAATAAAGTAGGAGCCTGCAAATGCAAACAGATTTTACTCTCTACAACACTGAATTCCAAGCTAATGCATATAACTTAATACCATGTTTAGCGCATGGGATTAGACTGATTATACTGTCGCGTCCTACCCAGTACTATGTAATGCACTAATTATCCAACTCTGAGAAAATCAAATTCTCAACTTCAATTTGAAGAACCTAAAGTTCTTGGGGATTCTTTTTGGCAGAAGAACTCTTGTTATTGTGCATCCAAACCTTGAAAACCTGTCTTTTAACCCCAACTTCAGCACAGAACCTTTGCACTTCAGTGTCATCTTCTCTAGGAATCCTCCACCCCAGTTTTTCTGCAAATTCTAGCATCTTATCCTTCTGCTCGTTAGTAAACTTTGTACGGAACCGCTTCTTGTTGATAAACTGCGGTGGTGGAGGGGCCGCCATGGCGTTGGACTGATAATCATTGAAGTTGAGCTCCTCACTTGAAGAGTCTGTACCTACACTGCCACCGCCTCCTCCACCTCCACCACTACCAAAAGCCATTTTCACTGGATGGATCAGTGAACCCCAGTGGTTGATATTTTGCACTCCCATGCGGTGTTGGCTCATTGATGGAGAAGGCAGTGGTGGTGGGAGTGGAAGAGGGTGGATTATTCCTGCTGCAGCCGCCTCACCATGGTGTTCTTTGCGGTGAAAGTTGCGGTGGCAATTGCAAGCTGCACACTTTAAGGCTTCAAGGGTTCCTTCTTCACCACTGGGCATGAATTCCCCACACCCATCAGTCACATTTCCTCCAATACTTGCAGCATGATTCTTGAGGCATTCACGGTAGCTAATTTTTGCAGGTGTCTTCAGTTTAGATCCACCAGAATTTGGTTCCAAATTTCTTGTTTTCTCCAGTTGAATCTCTACTGAGTTGTAGCCAGGTAAGCCTTGCAATCTCATATCCTCGTCTTCACCAATCAATGCCATTGATTTTTATAAACCCTAAAATACTTGGCTACTAATTTTTCTTATCCCAATTATGGTTATCCCACACAAAGGTCACCAAATACTATATATTAATAACTGATGTAAAATACCAAGAACCTTATTCTAATCTCACCAACCCATGATATTAATTTCAAGAAAATCTAGGGCTTACTAGAAAAACAACACAGAGAATTCAATGAAGAAGAAAGAAAGGAGACTGGAGAGAGATCTTATAATATTACAATTAGTCCCACAAAAAAATACCGGAAAAATATGAATCGAAGTTGTAGAAAAATCTAAATCTTGAATTAAACACAAACAGGGCCTTAGCTCTTTACCCTGGAACCATTAATCTTGATTAAAGATCAAATTTTGTAAACCAAAACAGGTACAGGTAGAAATATTTAATGAAGAAAAAGTGGAGGAGATAGCGATGGAGGTGGTGGTGGGGTGAGAGTGTGTTGCAGAGGTTCCAACAGCCAACTATGTATCCAACAAGAGACAGGTTGGTTGCTTGTGAAGAAGCTTATGAAGAGAGAAAGATAGAGAGAGAGAAGTGGGAAACAACTGATGAAATTAACAATCTGAGCAGAAAAAACAACCGACAATGTCATGTTCGTCGTCTCCCACGCCCTGCCACTTGGTCCCATATCACCATTCATTATTGCATTGCATACACCTCGCTACCGCAACCCCACCCCCACCCCCACCCCCACCCCCACCCTCACCCTCACCCTCCTTTTCTTTTCTTTCTTACTGTTCCTTTCTTATCTTTGCCTAGTTTCCCACGTCGTCCTCTCTATTCATTAGAATTTACTTTTGACACTCCAAAGTGACGCAAATAATGGTGTGATTCTGCGTGAGATGATATTTGACGTACGCTCCTTTTCTTTTTCAATAATGCAAAAATGTACGTCCATGCTTTATGGTGTGTTTGAGCCACGTTATTTTTAAAAAATGTATTTTAGAATAGTACATTGATAAAAAATGTGTTGTTGAAAAATAATGAAAAATTACTGATGTGATGAAAAATATTATTTTATTGAAGAACATGTGTTGGAAAATGAGTAAAAGAATTAGAATTTTAATGTGGCTCAAACATGAGCTTACATCTTATTTGACATTCTTTTTTTATCGTAGTTAAACTCTTTTTTAAACTATTCAATAATGCGTTTTCGTATTGCACAATGTAAACAATGATATCAAAGATAATGTACATCAGTACATGTAACATGATTGTTTCTTTTTCAACATAAGATTAATTGGAAAATGCTAAATGTACATTTTATTTTACATTATGGTTGACATCCCCCAACTTGATACAATTTGAGCAGTAATGTGAAATTGTGTTGGAGAAATCAAATGAGATGATGATGCGTGCCCATGTGGAAGAATATAAACCATAATGTACTCATAGCATGATTGTAATTGTCGTCATAAATCTCCAATTTTTTATTTATTTATTTTTTTTTTTTTGTTGTTGTTGAACTTCATAAATTTTTTGATAGTTTAGCCCATGTTTGATAATTATTATTTTCAAACTTTTTTCTACATACTCATTTTTAACCTCACATTTAAATAATAAAATATTTTGAACGTAAATCCAAAATTTTTCTTACTTTTACAATACATTATTCTAAAAATCAAGATTTAAAACTTTATTTTCCCCGCATAATGATTTTGAAACAGGGGCTTAATGAGTAGTGTTATTTAGCTCTTGTTTGATAACCATTACTTTCAAACTCTTTTTTTTTTTTTTTTTACATACTTATTTTTAACCACACATTCACACAATAAATTATTCAGTACGTAAACCTTAAAAAAATTCTTACATTTTAACCACATATTTTTCTAAAAATCACTATTTAGAACATAAATTTTCCTAGTTGTCAAAGAGTGGATTAATTGTAAATTTTTTATGATCCGCGATTTATTAGATGTCAATCACTTAATATCACTTAGGGCATGTTTGATTTGACAAGAATTCCATGGAACTTGGAAATTCAATTCCATCCCCCACCATTGTTTGATTGTCATAATTTTCTAGGCAATTCATTTTCAAATTTATGCTTCACACGGTTCCATTTCCTTGCTTTTGTGGAAAATCAATTCCCACCAATTTGGTGGGATTTGGTTTTCCAGGTAACTTATGATAAAAAAATGATTTTTTAGGAAACAATTTTTTTTCCCATTTTTTTTTACTTTTTGGTAATGGAAACAAATTTTATAACCAATTGTGAAAAAAATCTCTTTAATGGACAATTTCCATGGAAAATGAAGCAAACGAACATCAAAAAATCCAAAATTTCAACATTTTTCCAGTAAAAAATTATATCAATAAAATACAATTAATTGACAATTCCCATTAAAATGAATTCTAGGCAATTCATTTTGTTCCCGCCCAAATTTTATCCTTACAATCAAACGGATCCTTAGATTATTTATCATCAGCCATTTGAACAAACAACACTACTGTACTTTGATGCATAATTTGTTGCTAATAGATCAATAGAATACATTGAAAACATTTTTAACGAATCCATTTTTTACTGAATATTAGGCGAGTTCATTTTTGATTCCATCCACAGCTTTTATTCATTTTTTAATCATACATATTATGAAATCCAACCATTTTTATCAAATTTATTTGCTAAAAATCTATATCATATCACCGAATAGCATTATTCTTGAAATTTGAATCTTCTCATTTTCTAACATAATTGATGTAGACAACGAAATAGAGATAAAAAAAATCAGCGATTGTGTTACATGTATATGACTACTTATATAATAGTTTACCAACGGATGATGTGACGAGATTTAATTGAATCAAGATCTTATCAATCAAATAACTTTTTCACCTACATTTCGATATCACGTCATTATATAAAATATTATATAAATAGACATGTACAAAAAGCATTTTTCATAAATCGAACCTCTATTTTTTCTTGAAAATATAAGCAAAAGACTCCTTAGGGGCTAAAATAAAGGCTTTAATGTTATAAGGATGTTTCGTTAATGATAGTTGATAGGAAACTTAGCATATATTTGACAAATATGTTTAAAAACACTTGACAAAAGTTAAATATTTTTTATTCACGTATTTCGTTGAATTCACAAGTATTATTCAGTAATTTATCCTTCGCTCATTTTTTATCTATTTATAAATAAAACTTGCCAAATATATGCTTAACTGAGAATGAGGATTGGAGGATTATTCTTTGCTACTTCTCAAAGCAATGTTCTCCTAATTTTTTCCACTTAATATATTCGAATTTTCTTTGCACCGCTCAATTTTATAGTTGAACCGTGAACGAGCATTTTGGCCCGACTATTTCAATACTCGAGATCATTTAATATACTTCGAATATTTTATAAATGGAACTATTTGGATCCTTACAATTATTGGAACCGAACTCAAACTTGAATCATCGATCCTGGTTCAGTTCGATCCATTTATGACATATTTTTTTTAAAAAAAAAAAAAAACTATCATCTAATATCTATCATAATAACATCAAATTTCAGCTGCGACTCTAAGTGTAGTGCCTCAAGAAGAATTTTTAGGACGAGCAACGCATAAAGTGCGATTAAGAGTGATTAGGAGCGAGAGTGATATGATTCATTATTCAAATGAATGAAATTGATAGATAAGGTGCTCAGTACTTGGGTTTTGCAATCTTGGACCGGAAGCGAAGATGCTCCATCTCAGTTAAAGTGTCCACTCTTAACAATTTTGATTTGTTGCACCAAATTTAAATTTCAATTAAGGTCATCAATATTTTCTCATTGTTACACTTATTTTCTCAACTTTTTGTTCAATTCTTATATTTAATTAATCAGCACATCTTTAAGATGACGATTTTTGTCCAAATATCTTGTTAGTGTGCCTTGAAATGAGAAAAATTATCCAAACTTTTTATATTTGTGTTTTTGCTTATCTAAAAACATAGAGGGTAAATGTATGCTTTTCTACCAGACTTTTGGACGAAAACTACCATCAAAGTTAAGATATGTTAATTAATAGATGATTAATGTTAAGATTTATGTTGCATTGGATATTTTATAGACAAAAATGATTATTATAAAAGAATATGATTGTTATAAAATAGTTGTAAAAATCGCCTAACTAGTGATCAAGTGAAAAAAGCAAAATCATTGTCACCCATCTCTCGCTCGAGCAACACACATCTCGCTCATTTGTCACTAGCTTGGCGCTCGAGCGATGATATTTTTCAAGAAACTCTAGTTTGCATTCTTTAAGAGTTCTATATATTCTATACTACCTAAATACCTTATATTATAAATACACAATACTCATTACATTTTTGTGTGTGGTCGTTCATTATTTTACATCAATCCAAGACACAAGAACATATCCATATATTGAGATTAAATTTTTAATTTTTGAGATCAATCAACTATAATTTTGGGGAAAATATCAAATTCATATAATCCAAAACACCTACTTCTTAAACACAATCAGGAAGGTATTTTCTCAATATCTTTCAGAAGTTGTTGAAAATTGAGGGAGGTTGAACTGTAAGCACAGAAAGAGTATAAGAGTAAGATGTTTCGGTGATCCACAAGAGATAGGCAATTTCAGAAGATTTGGAGCAGGTGTGAGTGAAGCACGTTCCAGAGGGTCTTGGAGATTGCCGAAATTAGATCAACGAGTCTGGTGGATTTTATAGGCTGGATCATATTGTAAGTTCGTATTATCTATAATGGAAACTACTTGTTTGATCCCGAAGTTTTTACCCAGTTAAGGATTTTCTCTATCAACAAATCTTGTGTTATTTATTGCTTTAATTATTATTGTGGCAATTCAACATAGGATAAACTTGACTTGATTGACTAAACATCTAGAACAATCAAAAAGTGATTTGTTGCTTTTAGTTGGTAATTTTAGTATTCGTTATTCACCTATTCACCCCCTCTATATGTGATTTTAGCGTCGAACTAGTTACTTTCAAGTGGTGTCAAAGCCCAAATTC